GCTCATCCATCATCGTGTGTTCAGCTGAGTGCCGAGCCTCATACAAGCACACACCAACGAAGACCGCCCGCACACGCGGATCGAAGATTATCCACGCTGCGCGTCGCTCCGCTGCTGCTGTGTAAACGATCGGTAGTAGTAGTATAGGATTATCAGATAAGTTTTTGTTCTTGTTTCTTTCTTTCGCCCATCAGTTAAATTTTACGTTTGTGTTTCCGTGTTTGTATTTTTTTTCGTGTTTGTGTCCGAGTAATTTTGATTATCGTTGCAGTGGTAGAGCGTTTTTCGCTCCCACTAGCAAGGCAAAATGGACATTTTGTCGGAAAACGAAATGGACGTTTTGTCGGAAGATGACACTTCTTTGCCACGCGATAGCAAGAAGGGTCGAAAACGTCTGTCATCCCAGAAATCAGATGATGTCATCCCTGGTTCGTCATCTCAGTCTGGTAATAAACAGGGACAGATAAGCCCCGATCGCGAGCCTACCCAGAAGACTCGACTGGCCCATGGGTTGTTTACTTTCAGCCCAACAAGAAACCTTTGAATGTAATGCAAATTACTAATGATCTGACGAAGCGGTTCTCGGCCGTGACCGAAATCTCGAAGGTGAGGTACAATAAACTTCGTGTTGTCGTCTCTAACCTGAAACAAGCTAACGAGATTGCTGCCTCCCAGCTCTTTACACTCGAGTATAGAGTGTACATCCCAGCTCGTAATGTGGAGATCGAAGGTGTAGTCACCGAAGCGAGTCTGACCCCCGAGATCTTGGCGAAGCAAGCGGTTGGCCGTTTCAAGAACTCCTTGCTTCCCACGGTTGAGATACTGAAAGTCCAGAAGATGAACTCAGTATCTTTCAGCTAGGGTAAAAAGAGCTTTACCCCCACAGACTCGTTTCGGGTGACCTTTTCTGGGTCAGCCCTTCCTCACTACATCGAGTTGGGAAAACTTTGGCTACCTGTGCGCTTGTTTGTTCATCGGGTCATGAACTGCCAAAACTGCAAACAGTTGGGACATACAGCCTCTCACTGTGGCAGCAAGGCACGCTGTTCCAAATGCGGGGAGAAGCACGAAGATGGCGCCTGCACAGTCACTGCACCAAAATGCGTGTATTGTAAGGTATATCCTCATGGTCTCTCGTCGTGCCCGGCGTACAAACAACGCGGGGAGAAACTAGAACCCTTTCTTAAGGAGCGTTCCAGGCAGTCTTTTGCAGCAATGCTAAAAACAGCCACACCATCAGCCAACGACAAAAATCCCTTTGCTGTTTTGTTTGATGACGAGACTGACTGTGACTTGGCTGAGGAGGGAGTTTCTTTCAGTTTTCCGGAAGGTTCTGCACGGAAACGAAAACGCATCCGTTCGCGGAAAGTTGCAGATAAGGAACCCCAAATCAGCTTGCCCAAATCAAAAAAGGAAGTTTCAACTCCTCCTGGTTTCCGCAGAACTGACTATAACCAGAATTTTCCATCTCTCCCGGGGACATCAAAGACCCCTGATGGCCCATTTTTAAGAACAGAAGCCCCTTCTTCATCTGGGTTGTTCTCATTTGATAAAATTGTGGATGATATTCTCAAGTACCTCAATATTTCTGATCCTCTCAAAAGCATTGTTCTGGCAATGCTTCCTTCTGTGAAGACCTTCTTGAAGCAATTGACATCGAAAAAGCCCCTTATTGCAGCAATCATTTCCTTCGATGGATAATTTTCCAAACGAGGTCGGGGATTTGATCACTACTCTACAGTGGAATTGTCGAAGTCTCATTCCTAAATTAGATTCTTTTAAGTTTTTAGTTCACAATAATGATTGTGATGCATTTGCTCTTTGTGAAACTTGGCTCTCTTCAGATATCGATCTTCCTTTTCATGATTTTAACATTATTCGACTGGATCGTGAGGATTCGCGTGGTGGAGGGGTACTTTTCGGGATCAAAAAGTGCCATTCCTTCTATAGAGTGAATCTTTCACAATTTCCAGGTATTGAAGTTGTCGCATGTTAGGCTATTATTAAAGGTAAGAGCCTTTGTATTGCTTCTGTTTGTATTCCTCCTAGAGCCGTTGTTAATCGAAAACAACTTTCAGATATCTGGTCGGTATTTCCTGCTCCACGGTTGATTATGGGAGATTTGAATTCCCACGGTACAGGCTGGGGGGAACTGTATGATGACAACCGTTCTACTTTGATATATGACCTCTGCGACAGCATTAATATGACAATTCTTAACAATGGAGAAGTAACACGTTTGGCTGGCCCATCCTCGAATGGAAGTAGATTAGACCTTACACTTTGCTCTAACTCATTATCGTTGGATTGCACGTGAAATGTGATCCAAGATCCCCACGGTAGTGATCACTTGCCGATCAAAGTTTCAGTTACCAGTGGGTTCAATCCGTCGGAACCCGTTAACGTCGCGTACGATCTTACCCGTAATATCGATTGGACAAAGTTCAAAAATGTGATAGAAGATGCCCTAACGTCGGTAGAAGGGCTTCCACCGTTGGAGGAATATAACTTCCTAGGATGAATTTATCGATCTCAAAACAACCGGGAAAATTACCAAAATTCCGGGAAATCCCCAAGAAATTACAAATTGGGATTTGCTGGTCACCATGATTGGGAGTAATGCCAATTTGATTTATGTTTTATGTTACCCAAAATTTGAAAATTTAGCTCTTTTTAAAATCGTTTTCCACTTCACTTTCCTAAAAGTACACAAACATTTTTTTTATTATTAATTTATGAATTTATCATAAAATGAGTTGCTTACACGTAAACTTATTTCTTTTTTGTTATTTAATATTTGTCCTTCCTAGACCTATTTGAGTGATGCTGGACATAAAATGGAAATATAATTTGCATCATCCTTATGCCTTATTAGGTAATCAAATAATAATAACAAGACAAATGTTGAGAATTTTTAGACAATCAATTTTAAAGACCTCGGATATAGAAACTTTTGAAACATCTCAAATATTTATAGCTCAGGAACCTACACAATTTTTCTAGATAACGGTCCAAGAACAAATCTCATTATTCTGGAACGAGGAAATTTTCCAAGATGGAAAAATCGTGTATGCACACGGCAAATAAATCTGACTCATATTTGAGTCAAGTTCACTTAAGTTCTCAAAAACGTAGATCACAAGAATGAGTAAATTTAGACTCAAAGATGCGTAAATGTCACTTATATATATGAATAAATGTCATTCAAATATGAATGATATTTGCTCATATTTTAGTAAAAATTTACTCAAATGCGAATTTTTGTGAACGGGACTCACATATGAGTTAGATTTATTTGCCGTGTAGAATATTTTGCTTAACATCTAGAAATCGAAAAAAAAAATTTAAAGATTCCGGGATAAATTTTAGATATTTTGGACCAATTTTTCAAGCATTCGAAGACAAACAAGTTAATTTTCATATGTTGAATATATGGAACATTTTATGATCTTGGACATAGATTTTTTTTCTTAACTTTAGTCTTGGAAATGTTTGAATAAATATTAAAGCTACAAAGAGCTTCAAAGATTTTCAAAATTATAATCTTTGAAAAAATGTCTAGCACAAGTAAATTTTTCTAGACTATTTTTTCGAAATATCTTAGACTTGGAAAACTTCCAAGATCATGAAGTAAGGAAGCCAGGATGTTGGAATCAGATTTTTTATCGAACCCTTTTGAAAATTTGCGATACAATTTTCGAGATCACAAGGCAAAGGAATAAATTAGAAATTTTATAATCTGGTCTGGAAAAAATCGAAGATAAAAAATATTAGCGATTCGATCAGCACCAATTGGACAGCTCTGGTCTGTTCGCAACTCTTCTTGGTCGGACTTTACATGCTGATTTTTAATGAATCTTTTTAACACAAATTTGTTACCAAATCAAGCTGTTACTTGATGTGATTTTTAAAAGGCATATTATTTACTCTTGACAATATTGATCGTAAAAAAGTGACTTTAGTGACTAAATTTTAAGAAATAGTGACTTTAGTGACTTTTAAGTGAAAAAGTGACTTTTTAGTGACTGATTTAAAAATAGTGACCAGGTCACTAAAAAGTGACCTGCTACCAGCCCGAGCAAAATCGGTTAACAAAATGAAAGCAAATCTATATTAAAGTGTGCAGTTCCTATTATAATGAAAACTCATTTTGATTTCAAATGTTGCGACATAAGTCTGATATCATATTGTGCTTTCATTATGCAGTCAAGACGTTTTAAATGAAAGCAACTTAACTTGAAGTTCTGCTGTTTACGTCTTGTTTAAAATTTAATTGAAATTCATCTGTCGTTGAACTAATGATTATCGTTTATCTGATTTGTTTAACATATTTTAGGTCATTCGTGACTTGCCCGCGGTGAGATTGGAGCCTAAGTCTTTCAGCTTGAGAAACATGAATGGTAACCATTTACTCTAGGCCCGTATTCAGTTAAACATTATGAATGCAAAATCAGTAATCAAATTGATTTCATTGAAAGCAGGATTAGTTTTCTGTTTGCTTCAACAGTGTAAAATTTTGCTCTCATTTTTGCTGTGTTAACCGTTAAGTCAACTAAAATGAGATCAACTGGAGTATTCAAAATAAGTTACATCATAACAGCAAATTTTGATTTCAATTTGATCTTCAGCTTTGCTCTGGAGCCCTGCACATTAAGATATTCATATGTTATCGGTTAGCTATCAGATCCTGCTCGGGGTTGGTCTATTTATTAAGGTTGTCTTCATGTCCGGCTAAGTTGAGTGTAGAAGAAAAGATTTTAATCTCAGCACTGCAAGCGTTGCAAAAACGTTTTCAAACTGTTTTGAACAATCCTGTCGATTGAAATGGATAGAATAGCAAGCATCAGATAAATGTAAACAAACAAACACGCTGAGAAATTGCTGCTTAGATAGACGAGAATACGTAAATTCTACATAATTAAGAAAATCAATTTCGGAATTTCGGAATGTTGTTCAAAACGCTAACCTTATTCGAAATTGTATTTTATTCAATCACGAGCCATGGTGTTCTAGGTACATAAAGAATGTTACGAGATGTTTATGATATGCTAGATAGATAGCTTAGGTCTTACGTTTAAGTATATTCTGCATATAACAATATGATTCTACCTTTTTACTTATCCGCTTGCAGCCATTATTCGAAAACATTCCGGTATCATCAAACGTCATCACTAATTTTATAATGTTGCTAAAAATAAAATTACGTTATTTATGTATAACTGCATTAATGGCAAATTAATATAATTACCTAACATCCACTTCCTTTGGACCAGATGTGCAAAAGTTTTCGAACTCTTTTGTAATGCACAGTTCAACATGCCTTGGCTCTAAAGGCAAGAAAGGGATAAAGTGGTCAATGACCTGCGAATCAATTATATTGCTGTGATATAAGCCTCCAATCACATTGTACGCTCCCAATTCAGCGATACGTTCGAAATCGGGCAATTTTGTTTCGTCTCTCCATCGGCCTGAATCTATGAGAGACTTCAGTTTCTTTGCTATTTCAACTCCTGCAAAAAATCACGATATTTAAATTTCTCACACATTAAACGCTACTCATACCTGCACTGTTGGAAAGAAATATGAAGATGGCTTTCGAAAAATCGTATTCTTTCATAGAGGAATGGTGGTCCAAGAGCGATACAATATCGTCAAAAACTCCCGTTGGCATTTTTTCAATCTCGTCAAAAATAAACAAAGATTGTGGACAGTTTTTAACCGTTCGTTTTACATTTGCAGCGAGATCCTAGTACAAGCAAAAAGAAACTGTAAATTGTAGGTTGAATATGACAAATCTTCATTTATTCTTCAATATACCTTTTGTGTATCACTGGCAGTGAACTTATTAACAAATTTACTGTTTATCGCATTTTGATACAGAGCACTCGCAACAAAATCAGACACGTAATTTTTACCGGTTCCTGTAATATAAGAATATAAAATTAGGTTAGTTTCCTTACAGTTACGAATATTTTTGGCCGCTGAACTCTGTCGGTATGTTTATGATTTCTAATTGCGACATGAGAGGTGATTGTCGAATTAATGATGGCAAAAAAATAGTTAAAGAGTAACATGACTGTGCCCAGGGCTGAAAAGCACCTCAGAGCGTTAGCAAAGCAACTTTGTGTATGCATCTCACAACACTCGACAAAGAGTGTGTGGTTCTCACATTTGCTTCGTACACTCTTTTTTTTTTATTATTATTATAGTCACTTTAACACTCTTGGGTCATTCGTGACTTGTCCGGGGGTGAGATTTGAAATCGTGACTTTGGCGTGAGAGGTATGGATGTCAACCACTACGCCGTGGTCGCCACCTGCGCACACTCTTTTCCAACTAATCTGTGAGAAAGAGATCCACACAATGAGCGGTACACTCCGTGCGGCGCAGTGAGCGAATATAATACAACAAACGTGCTAATGTCTTCTTTGAGTTCTTTGCAGACTTTGCTTATCACGATTGCATGCATAGGAGGTGAAGAAGGGTGTAACGAAGAATAATTTTGTCTTTTTGCTGTGTTTTCCTTTTGCAATCCCACACTAAGTGGCGCTCTTTGCGTCGGAGCCGTCGGAGCGATGGCTACAATTGAGCTTTCGTTATTTCTGAGTGTGTGTCTGTCTTCTCTTCTCCGCTGCTTTACACTTGCGCAGGGTGAAAGACAAGCGAACTTTGTGTTTGCTTGATTCTCACTTTGTTTATTTCGGAAAATCAGTACATTGCGCGCATTGAGTGATCGGATGACAGCCCTGACTGTGCCATTTAATAAAAAAAAATGTAAAATCTTAGCGGTAAACTTCGCGCTCAGTGGGTTGTCATCCACACATTTGTTAACTAAGTTATTTTATGACATTATTTGGAAAGAACCGTTTTCCAGAAAATTTGTTCCCGGAAGCACTATTTTACGGAATCAAATAATATGCTTGCTTGAGTTTATTTTCCTTTTCTGGAGATCTGACTTTCGACTGAGCATCACCTTGTAAATACCGGAGGCTTTCAGTACTTTCAAAACTTTAGCTTACTTCCTCTCTTGAGTAGCACATTAAACTTATTGAGACATTATTTTATTGCGTTTCTAGTACGCCGACAAGAGACATGGCAGACTATGATTGTTGGCTTGAACGTAGGGTGAAATTTTGAGTTTTCACGATGCTCGAAATATCAAAATAGGGGAAATGGCTCTAATGTTAGCCTTTGGATCTAACATTGGGCCCATCGCTAAAAATCTGCTATTTATCAATTTTATCTAGATGAACGCGTCATTGGGACGGCACTAATGGATATCTTTGATCGCCATAGAAAATTTAGTCGATTGCTGAATTTATGTATGGGCCCAAATTAGGGGCATTTAGGCCGACATTACATCCATTTTCCCTATAAGAAATAAAGAAGATTAGTATATTTGTTCAGGCGTTAAACGGTCAATTTGAAATCAGCACTTGAATTAATGTATCTGGTAACCCTATGTATTTTGTTTTGTTTTTACATAGGTTTTTCTTTAGTTGAGTTGATAGACCGACGCGCACAAGAATAAACACGATTTTGCATCAGCAATAATTACAGTCCATTTTATTCGCGAAAACGCAAGATTAATCCGAACATTTTGGTCCTTCGAGATCGAATATGTAAATTCGTTTGTCACGCGCGGTTTACATGCCGATTACAACACGAAGAGGGTCGAAAATTCCTGCTTTTATCTCGGTGGCGCAGCAGAGAGTTGCCAAGGCGGAGCGCGATCGGAAGAGGAAAATGGCGGAAACATTGGCGGGTCTTTGTCGACAGCGGGAGTTTATTTGTTCAAAAGTCGCTCGCATCAAATCCAGTCTACAGAAAGCGGATGATGAACAGGTTCCAGTTGACGAATTCATTCTGGAAACATACTTAAGGACGATTGATGCGGCTTACCAGGAAATGAACGACTGCCAAAACAAGTTGTGTGCTGCGAATCCTACGAAGCAGGAGGAAGAAGAACAAATCTACGTTGAATTTGAGACCATGTTTACGGAGGTGAGAGCTGTGGTGTGTAGGTTGATAACAACGCAGAAGAGGCAGAATGACGCTCGATTCAACACCGCTCTGCAAGTAACACCAGGTGTTTCACATCCGATTAGAGTGCAGCAATCGATTCTTCCTCATACTCCTCTCCCATCATTCAACGGCAAACCGGAACATTGGTTTAGGTTTAAATCGATGTTTTTGGACATTTTGAACAAGTGTCCAACGGAGGACGCTGCTACGAAGCTATATCACTTGGATAGATGCCTTGTCGGTGAGGCAGCTGGTGTCATCAATCAACAATTCATCAATGAAAACAACTTCGAAGCGGCATGGAATTTCCTTGTACAACGATATGAGGATAAGCGGAAGATTGTCGACATCCATGCGAACAAGTTACTCCAGCTGAAGCCCATGACTCAAGAAAGTGGAAAGCAGTTGAGGGATTTAATCGAAGAGTGCAAACGACACGTCGATTCGCTCAGATTCCACGGGTACGAAGTACTAGGCCTCTCAGACATTGTTTTGGTGAATATTCTTGCTTCCAAGGTTGACTTTGAGACTAAGAAGCTTTGGGAAGCCAGCAACAAGCACGGTGTCGTTCCCAAATACGACGATACCATTGCATTTTTCGAGAAACACGCTTTGGTACTGGAACGAGTGGAAGCTTCTTTAATCAAACCGGTCAAAATGAAGGCACAAATTGCCCCGCTGAAAACACAACAAATAGCAAGATCGTCGTCTTTCCCAGCAATAAGTGCTGAGAGAAAGTGCGTGTTTTGTGATAAGGAGCATCTCAATCACCAATGCGATGAGTTTCTAAAACTTTCAGCTAATGACAGAAACACCAGAGCCAAAAAAGCTGGTGTCTGTTACAATTGTTTGAGAAAAGGGCATATGACAGCAAAATGTTCCTCGAAGTATTCCTGTCGAGAATGTAACAAGCGACATCACACGGTTCTACACATCGATTCGCCGAAACCGAGTGATGATACTTGCAAGAACGAAACAGCAATCTGTCCCCAAAGTGAGATTGCATCATCGTCTACGAGCAACGTGGTAACCCGCAATTGCACCACTGGTACGAGCAAATCCAAAGAAGTGCTACTTTCTACGGCTGTTGTGAATGTACTCGACGTACACGGCCATGCCAAACTGTGCCGTGTCCTACTAGATTCAGGATCACAACTTCACCTCGTTACGGAAGCTATGGTTACTCTTCTTGGAATTCAACGCAACAGGTGCACTACCAGTGTGATTGGAGTTAACGGTAAGGAATCGAAAATCAAGCACCAGGTAACGATTGTGTTCCAGTCCAGGACCAGTAGTTACACCAAGGATATCGAATGTATGGTGGTACCAAGGATTACTGGAATACTGCCTGCACAACAACTCAATACATCAGATTTGGAGATTCCGGATGACATGAGCCTAGCTGACCCGGACTTTTATAAACCTCAGCGTATTGATCTTCTCATTGGCGCAGAACTTTTCTTCAGCATTCTCAAGGACACCCGAATCGATCTCGGTAATGGACGACCAATTCTGCAGGAAACTTTCCTAGGATGGGTTGTTACAGGCACCATCTACAATCGAACGTCGTATGTGCAACCCCAGCATTGCTACACCGTCACTCTTGAACCCGAATGTCAATTGGATAAGTTGGTGCAACGATTTTGGGCTCTCGAAGATGTTCCAACGGCTTCTAGGATGTCTCCGGAAGAAAAACTTTGCGAAAAACACTACGTTCAAACCACAACAAGAGATTCTTCTGGGCGCTACGTTGTTAGATTGCCGTTTCGTGAAAACATTGGTCAGCTTGGTGAAACGAAGCAGTATGCGTTGCAGCGCTTCTATCAACTTGAAAAGCGTCTGAACAAGAACGTGGAACTGAAGCGTGAATATGATGCTTTCATTGAGGAATACATTCGACTCAATCATTGTCGGGAGATTTTCGAGCCTGAGATAAGCAGCACACCCAACTACTTTTTGCCTCACCATGCGGTGTTGAAACCCACATCGTCTACTACGAAATTGCGAACAGTGTTTGATGCATCTGCGAAATCAACTACGGGAGTTTCACTCAATGACGTCCTCATGACGGGTCCGGTCGTTCAGGATCCATTATTGGATATAACAATTCGGTTTCGTATTCATCAGTACGTGTTCTCCTGTGATGTGCCCAAAATGTACAGGCAAATACGCATGGCTCGCGATGATACAAGATTCCTTCGGGCATTTTATCGTAAAATTCCAACTGATCCAATTCGCACATTTGAACTTACGACCGTAACCTACGGCACAGCATCAGCCCCTTTTGCAGCAACACGTACCTTGAAGCAACTCGTCCAGGATGAAGGAGACCAGTTCCCGATTGCTGCGAAAATCGTTCTGCATGATGTCTACATCGACGATGCGTTGACTGGAGGAGATTCTGTCGACGAAATCAAGGAGGCGTCAAAACAGCTCATACAACTTCTACATAGTGGCGGTTTTCAACTGCACAAATGGTGCTCCAATTCAATGGACTTTTTGGAGACCATCCCGGAAGAGCTACGAGAGAAGCGATCGTCGTTGGAATTCAGTGGAGCAAACGATATAATCAAGACACTGGGTTTACTATGGAATCCGTCTACAGATGAATTCTTCTTTCGGATGATTCCAGTTCGGGAACAATCTCTCATCACGAAACGTCACATTCTCTCTGAGGTTGCAAAAACATTTGATCCTCTCGGACTGTTTGCACCGTCTGTCGTACTCTGCAAACTGTTGATACGAGACTTGTGGAGGTTAAAAATTGGTTGGGACGAGGAAGTTCCACAGGACCAGATTAACTCTTGGAGGCGATACCTGGCTAGCCTGAAAGGGACGGAAGGAATGAAGATAAGTCGGTGTGTTCTTTCGCCGATTCGAGTGAGTGTCGAACTGC